AATGTTGCTAGAGCCTAATTAGAATGAGAGAAAACGGGCGAAGAAAAGATGCTACCGTTTCTGATTAGTCAAAAGCTACATATATAGTCCAACTTATATAGATGGAAGCTTCGCACATTTTTCTTCGTTTATTTTTTTGTTCCTTTTTGTTTCTGTTCGATTTTGTGCATTTTGTATCTTTCTCGTCAAATGGAACTAGAGAGTATCCGATAGTCGGTATCATAAAATCAAAAGCCCTTGTATATTCACAAGTCTATGCTATGAATTACAAAGAACATAACGAAACGAAAACTATAACAAAATTGGCTACATTACGAGTAAAACCAAACTGTCCTAGAATAAAAGCTGATCCCTCCTAAGTCCTACCTAGGAGAAGAACAAAAAAAAGGCTATAACTCTATAAACCCAATGTATGAAATGAAAAACAAAAATATTCTTGATTTTACTTGTTCTGAGTAGGGTTCGATCTGCTTGGAGGTACAGTTCTCACACTCGATTCCACATTCTTGTGTGGATTCTTCTCTTTTACGCGCAAATTCTCGAGAGTTTGCTTAGATGATGATGATGACAATATTCTTGATTTTGCCGTGGGTTTTGCTTCGGCCGGTGGCATTTCCCGCGCGTTCAATGTGTCCTTTTCGTACAAAAGTTTCTCTTTTACGCTCGGATTCTCGAGCGCTCGTTTTTTCGCGATCATCATCCTCGTTGCGTGCGATTCGTGCAAAACGAGCATGAATGCAAGAAGAAAAGAAGTCATCATTATTATGCTGCTAAGGTGGGACTTCATGGTAGCTTGATTTGAAATTTTGGTTATGAAATTTGGCTAAGGTTTAAACTTTTAACATAATGGTTGTGAGATTTGAAGGTGGATTATATATAACTTAGAGGTGTTTTTGGGGTATCCTATGCAGAAAATGGTTGGATTAATTGGATCATGTGCCTCAGCTTGTTTGACTGTGACATGTTACGAGTCTGACTTAATACTGTTAATACAGATTAGTTGTTAGCAGTATGCGGCGTTATCACGTGATTAAGCATGTGATTTCTTTTGATTTAATCTCATGTCAGAATTTTGAACTTTTTTTTTTAAGTTGTATTGCTACGGTGCTGTTACAGTACCATCCCATCGGGTGTTTTAACCGTTGGATCCACATGTAGTTAGATAAGATAGATGATCTAACGGTTAAAACACCCGACGGGATGGCACCATAACCGCAACGTAGTATTTCCCCTTTTTATTACTTTGGGTGTTGCCGTGTTGAGGTGTTGAGAACAGACGTGTTTCTTGCTGATCTCAAGTTTTTTTGGATTTATTGTCTCTATATTAATTTGTTTATTTTTTGTTTGTTCTTTTAAAAGAAATAGAGATATTATATAATAGTAGTTGGGTCAAAATTGAATGTGGTCAAAGATCCATATTTCTTTGACTTCAAGAGTAAAGGGGAGGGTAGCCACAAAATTAGGTGTGTGAGGACAATTATTTTGAGGGTTGAATTTAATGGCAATCTTCTTATACCAATATTTTTGTATTTAATTATGTGTTTTATTGTATTAAGTGAATAATATGTTTGTATAAATATAACACTTATAATATCATAATATAACACCTATAATATCATATCATGAAATTGCGGTACCATTGAAATATGGTCACTGATGATAGATTGTCAGATTGTTTTATTATTCATTGTTTACTATTATAATTTTACATTATTAATTTATTCGAACATAAGAATGCTAATTTAATTATAACTAATATTTGTTTTGTATTTTTTATAATCGTGACATTTAGTTCAATCGTGTCATTTGTCTCTATAATCAGTTTTTTCTAATCGTGTTGCGTTTGTTTTCATGTCGTGTGAGTTTCTTTGTTGTGACCCTAACCAGCTCTGCAACTACTTGATCGAGTTAAATGACTTTCGCTTATTTGTCGAATAATTATAATGTGTTAGTATATCTATATTTCTAATTAATTGATTTTTAGATGGTTTTATGCATGTTTCATATCTATTACTCATCAATATTTGTATGTATCATTCATTCAATTTAACAAAATCTGAAATGAAATATAAAATATCATTCCTAATTTTAAAATATTTCACTAATAAAATATATTTTTCATTTAAAAAACATAATTATTTGATTAACATATATAATCATTTTTTTTTTTTTCAAAATAATGATTTGTGTGTGTGTGTGTGTGTGTGT